ATTCACAAAAAAAATATGCTTTATGGATAGATAGATAATAATTCCTAGATTAGACCAATGAAATTCATAATTCGTCATATTTTGATTCATGGCTATATACACTACAGAAGAAGTATTAGCTTGTAAGGTTGTATCACTCACGGAAGACATCGAGATTGGGACCGAACAGAGATATAATGAATAGAATGCTACTGTCATCATATCCCCTAATTACAAATACAAAAAAAAAAGCGAAATAAACCCTTTTTCAGAAGCTGTACTGAGTATGTTACTTTTTTAAGTTATAGTTTAGATGGTGTACAAAGTGATATAAATCCAGATAGTGACTGATAATTCCGAATAAAAAACTAATTTCTGTACATTATTTGTATTTCAGTTAATCATTAAAATAATGACGTAAAGCGTTCTCAAAATGTATGTGCATTATTTTCACGTATTTTAGTAGTGTTATATAAATGATTAAAACTTGACGCCTTAATTAGATAACTAAATAAAATTTTATTTATAAACCACTTTTTATGCATTTTTATGTGAAATGTGACAACCTGGCAGTCTATTCAACAACTTACATTGTTCTTTCAATTAAATATAAGCAAAAAAATTACTTTGAAAAATACAACTATTTTTGGCGTGCTAATTCCCGCTAATTGCCGTATGTGCGTTGTGTTAAACGGAGATTAAAATGACATTTTAAACTTCGTTTAACACAACGGTGGAATCGGTCCTTAGGCAATTAAATATATTACAAAGCGGAATAAAAATTCAAGTGTTTCGATTTTTGCCAACAATACGACGTGCTATAATCTATAATATATCTGAAAATTGCATGACAAGTGCTCATAAGCTTGGCAACACTTTCTCTTTCTATTTATTTCCATTTGATTTAGCTGCAAGGACCACGGGGAAATACCAGTGTTTCTTTATACGAGCAATGTTTCAGTTAGTTTCTTAGTCTTTGTGATATGATTTTGAAAATGAATCGTAAATAGTCTGTAGTTTGGAAGTTTTTTAATAAACTAGATGATAAATTTGTAAAGGGCACAATGTGTAATAAAGAATATAAATATTCAGGAAAAAATTTGAACGATCATCTTAAAATAAAACATGAAAAAGAACTAATTAAAGTGACTGAAGGTGAGGGGTCATCATTAGGGAGAGTGACCTCAGTAGTTAAAATAATAGTGGCGAATTACCGGCAAAAAAATCTAGACAGTCAATAAAAAGTTATTTAAACAGAAATGAATTATACGGCACTAATTCTAATATAAAAATCATCTGGATAAATTGTATGTCGAGATGATTGCCTTGACTTGATGTCCTACCGAACATCTGAACATCAAGGAATGCATAGATTGGTACAGGCATTGAATAATAAATATCAACTGCCAATAGAGAGACCCTCGAAACTTCTTTGGTCCCTAACTATTATTCGAAACTAAAAAACAAATTGTCTATGGAACTGTCACAATGTAATTTTGTTAGCATTACAACAGATATGTGGCAAGTGCTTCTAATGAGATAATATTAGCAGTACATGTCATTATATTCAAGAAAGAAAATTATTAACACCTTTATTGAGGGTAATGCAAATTGAAGGGAGTATCAATGATGAAATAATGGCACAGGTATATATAAACTATGTACAAATATTCTTATATCATTATTTTATAGTTTATTTTTTGTTGCAGGCTATCAACTCAATACCTGTTGACTATCACATTCGTGATAAGATAGTGGCTATAGTTACAGACAATGCTGCAAGTCTGGTAAGAACTGCAAGCAATTTACGACTTCGACATTTACCATATGCTTTGCTCATAGCCTGAATTTGTCAGTGCAAGACTCCTTTAGAGTCATTTGAAAAAATATTTTCTAAATGTAAGGCTATTGCGACATTCTTTCGCAGCAGTACATTGGCAAGTGACACATTGCGTAGGATTCAAAAGAGATCAGGTAAACCGGAACTTAAACTAGTACAAGAAGTCGAAACTAGATGGAATAGCTTATTTTTCATGCTGAAGACTTTCTAAGATACGTACTGAATTGGTAATAGCGATGAATGAATGTCCATATTCACACCTAAGAACTTGGTATATGTTTCATTGTTAAAATCATTATTATTAAGATAGATAATGTATACACCAACGCTGACCGCTGAAAACTTTGAAGCAATAGATAAGATACTCAAACTTCTTGAACCTTATTACAAAATGAGTATGCATCGTATCTTGCGTCAAAGTCAAAGGTAGCTAAACCGCTTAGATTGCCAGAACCATCCACTTCTATTGCTTCTACGAGCAAAATTGACGAGTTACTCTTTTTCATCATCAGATAATCAACAAGTAAGCACTTCTGTTAGTGGTGCATTTATAGATATTAGGCAATATATAGAGAAGCCAGTAACTGATGGAAGTACTTCCCTACTGGAATATTGGCACAAATCTAGCAGTACACTTCGGGAATTAGCATTCAAATATTTGAGTATACCTGCTACTTCGGTGCCAACAGAGCGAATTTTTTCAAAGGCAGGTGATATTATGACGAAAAAAAGAACCGGCTTAAAGATAAAAATTTGGATACTTCATTGTTCATTAAACACAATTATTCATTTTTCAAAACTTAAAGTAGAAGACACCCACGTGACGTCACCGTTACTCAGCTGCATGCGTAGGAACATACCGTTAGTTTGTGTATCGTGGTTTTTTCTCTTCAGTTTTTTGGAGGTTGATATTCGTCGTATCCGAGTCCAGGTCCATTTCTTTATCTACTCTACATCGATAATTTCACCCTAGCACTATTATTTAAATCACCCATAGGTGTCCTGTATTGTGCCTCCCCTATCGGCGAGAAATATTGTTTTTAAAATAGCACAAAGTATAAAAATTAATTAAACTAGCGAAAGTAATGTGTCCCAAAAGTTCACCTGATAACAAAACCGGTATAATTGCTCGCACACCTATTCTCTACGAGTGTTTATCCGATACCGATGTAATAAATAATAAAAATCTATCCCATTTCAGTAGGACTGATTAAATTAAAAATGACAAATGACAGTGACAGACATTTGTAGCTATTTAAGCATTAAAAATAATTTGTATACCTACATTTAAACTACTTTTTTACAACCTGCAAACAATATTTAAGAGAAAAAAAAACAAAAACAGAATGGTGTGTTTCTGTTAAAAGTCAACTGTCATTGGAACACAAATTACGTCACACTAATATAGTGTGACGACGTCACTAAAAATTTCCATTAAATTATTCCCTAAATTAATTTCAAAAACTAATTTCCGTCTATGAACATTTGCGAGACCCCCTGTAACTAATAATTCCATAGAATTACCGTTTTTAAACCTTTGCAAGAGCCCTCGTAGTTTAAAACTTTTCATTATCACAATAAATTAAATCATGTCTTAAAATCTCAATTCTAGTAGGTTTATCAATATGCCGATCAATCAACGTTTTTTTTTGCAAAACAACTAATAACAAAGGAGTAGGAAATAATGTCCCCACTCTGGCAGAAGTCCGACTTTTGATAAAAGGAGATGTCTTCGATGAGAGGCTCTCTGCTACGCCGTTTTTCGTCGCTTTTTGACCGTCTAAGTATTGTGCTGGATATTAGTAGAAACCGATTTTTCGTTATTTAGTTTCAGAGATAGTGAGAAGTTAATCAAGGTAGGCATTTTATTTAAAATTCCGCCGTCTAATAATTCTCTCTGCAACGTTCATTTCCGTTTCTATTATTTACATAAGGAATTCGACCTGTACTTTTAATTTCTTAGTACCTGTTAGGGTAATAAAGCAAATTGGATTTAGATCCGGGGGCATTAGCACCCTTCATCCATTTTCGCGTTAACCAGGGGGTGATAGCGGTATTCGCTTGTTTCCCCCCGTCGATAATCAGAGCTGTTTCAGTCCCTAGTCTTTTTAACAGCTCGGAGAAAGGGTGTCTCTCTTGTAGAAGCTATGGACTACCAGATGTCTACATAAGAGAAACTTTAAACCGAACAAATAAAGATAAAACCGTCATTGTTCCCTTAAGTATTGGTCGAAAAGTTCCGTTTTAAGCCATTTGTTATTTGGGACTATTATGCCTGGTAAAATAATATTGCGGGAAGGATATTAACCGTTATTCTTACAAGTGCAACAGTCATTTTCCTTTCATGAGTGCAGAGTGATACATTTCACCGCCGTTCATAAATTTCTATCGATAAATACCGATAGAGAAAATTATTATTTTTTTATTTTTCTAATACGTATAGTTCAAACCACATTTAATTTTACTGTTGTAGATTTTTTTTGTCTTACTACTAAAACCGATTGTTTTCTTTAGTAGGAAAGAATTTGTGCTAAGGGTGTTACTGCCCTCCGTTTTATTTTTTTTAAAGGAAATTATTATTTTTATTTTTCTAATGAGTATAGTATAACTCATAGTTACTTTTACCGTAATAGCACTTTTCTGTTGATACCGAGACCGTTTACTTTATCAACAACACATTTAGCCCGCCTATATTTTATTACCGTTGTTACATATACCGGGTGGTGTGATTTCGCCCAAATTCATTTATTTTATTTAATTGTTACCTATTTATTTTATTTTGTAAATATATGTTTGGTTTTAATTCCTGAGTTTAATTTTGAGATACCCCTTTACTTTTTCCGTTTTCAGAGCTTAGTAATAACTAATAAGTAGGTAAAAGTGCAGTGAAAAATTTTATTTTTACCTTTACTTTATTACCCCAGTGAAAGTCTGGCCGTTTTATTTATTTTTTTTTGTACCTGGACTCCACTGAGTCTGCTGAGGGTGTACTCTAGGTGCACCTCAGGGCCGCAGAGTAGACTGCGTTACCAAAACTGGCGCCTGAGCAACCCTTGTTCGAAGAACAGCCTAGCGCCACGCCAACCCCTTTTTTTTATTTTTAGGGATGAAGAAAAGGGTGTAACAATAGCGTACAAGATTCAAATGTTTAGAAAAAAAAATAAGAAACTAATATTTTCGATCAATGTTTTGTCATTCGTCTAATGGCACTTAAAAACTCTAAGGGTGTTTTGATGTTAAATATTTCTCTAAAAGCAAAATTATAAATAAAAATGTAAACGGTCAAAAATAAATTTATTTAAACCTTCACTATATTCATTTAAATTACCCTGCTGGGCTACCCTGTTGTTGATACACTAATGACCAATAGTATCCTCCTAATTTCTTTAATGATTCATGTGTTCCCATCTAAAAGAAAAGTTAATTAAATTAAATAAGTCTAACGAGAAGAAGTTAGATTTACCTCTACAATTTTTCCTTTATTTAAAACCACTATTAAATCAGCATTCTGTATAGTTGAGAGTCTATGAGCAATAACAATGACGGTTCTTCCTTTTCTTGCACGCTCTAAGGCAGCTTGAACAATTTTTTCCGATTCAGTATCCAAAGCACTAAAACACATCAGGTCGTATTTATTAATATTGTTTTTTAAAAATAAAAAAATATATTTTGTATACAAATGAAACATTGGTGTCTTCACATGAATAATGATAAATTATGTGTTTACTGATTAAAAAAGTGTTAATAATTTAATTACACCAATCTTGTAATTATCGCGAGTACAATTTTTACATTCAATATCCGTTTAAATAAAATAATTGTTAATAGGTAGGCAAAACCCTAGGAAATCAAAACAAACATCAACAACTTTAACAAAGACATTCAAAAATTAGTAAAACAATGTCAGTAACACACATGGCTATAGACCTGCCAATAAATCAATAGAAAACAGGAAAGAAACTTATACCATGAAATAAATAAACTGTCAAAACATAAAACAAGGAATAAAATTCCAAATATCACAGACAATAGTATAGACTATACCAAAGATGAAGAAAAGGCCGATGCATTCAGGGATAACTTCATTAAAACATATAACGGAACAAAATACCCATCTTTTGAACGAAAAAACAGGAACAATGTAAAATGATGGCGCAAACAATATTTCCGAAACAACCCAATCAATGAGGAAGATAACACATAATTCGAGGAGGAAAAATACTTTCAAATACTATCCAGGATCGGACATGATGCCTTGGCAAATTCTGAAATATCTAGAATATAATATACAAATCTATATTATAAAAATGTTTGTATTCTGTTACAAAAACTCGTACTTTCCAAATTAATGGAAAAAATACACCATCATAGTTATCCCAAAACCAGGTACAGACCACAAAAGAATTGATAGTTACAGACCAAACACCCTTCTTCCAGTTTTGGGTAAACTATTCGAAAAAACTGATTAAAGATAAACTATCAGCATTAATAAATGACTGAATGCCGCAATTTCAATTTAGGTTTAGAGAACAAATCTCCGCTCTGGTACCAACTGAACTGCTGGTTTCCAATGTGCAAACAACAAAATTGAACAATAAAAAATCTGCCATTCTCCTGTTGGGCATCAAAAAGCCTTAGACTGTGTCTGGCACAACGGCCTCCTATTTAAACTAAAAGTTCTTAATGTGCCTGGTCTTATATTTCTTATCAAAAACATCCATCAAAAGAGAAATCGAAGTGTTAAAATAAACAACCACACATCTCCAAGTATTATAGTAAATCAAGGTGTACCGCAAGGGTCGGCACTCTATCTGCTCCTATACAACAGATATTGCTTTGATTTTCCCTCAGGTCAGCTACATGGAAATACATCACAACACTACAAAGTCAATATAACGAAGTTGCTTAATGGTCAACAAATGGAGATTACAAGTTAATCCACAAAAATGTCAATTAATGATACCCTATCATGACCTAAGATCGACATCACCTACACTCATTATATCTAAACAACCAATCCATCTCGTATTCTCAGTGAAATTCCTAGGCCTTATTATTGATAATGAGCTGAACTTCAATGAACACACCAGTAGACAAAAAAAAATTAAAGCCAGAGCCAAACATGTCCATGTCTTAACATACAAAAAAATAAGGTATCAACACCTACACGGCCACTAAAATCTACTGAACAATATGCAAACCTCTCCTGGAATACGAACTCACTATCTATTTAAACTGCCGAAAACCTGTATTAAAAAACATTCAAGTGGCCGTAACTTCTACACACTAAGAATCATTACCAAGATGCGACATCCAGAAAATCCCACAGATCATCCAGCGAATGAATATCTCTACGAAAAAACTAAGATTCAGCCTACTCTGGAAAGAATCAGAAAACTGTCAATAGATCTGAAAAGGTCGCGGTGAACAAGAACAAATAACGTCCAACTGCCAATCTAATCTAAATATACATAATGATTCCAAAGTTGATATTTCTTTTTAACTGTCTTTAGAAATCAAAATCAATAAAAAAAAACACGAAAATAAGAAAAACAATAAAGGATTTAGGTTTGTTGACCTACACAAAAAAAGTTACATAATTAAAAGAAGTCCAAATTTGGGACTGTCATTAGTCGGGAAGTGCGGAAGTTTTTAGACATTACTGTGGAATCCGTGTTTATGAATTCATCAATTAAATAAGAATAAATAAATAAATGTAAGAAAATCAAAATAAAATTATTATAAACAAACAACCTGACTTATGGCAACCACAATTGCCGATTAGTCAGAAAGTGAGCTTAGCATAATCTTTACCTTTCATTAGACTGCCACAAAAATTAAAGTTATCAATTTTAGGAAAGGAATGAAAGTTCTTGAAATATATGACGAGGTGAGGAAATGGAACATTGTTCGAGCCCATAGAATTAATTTCCCGAATAGGTGGAGTCGAAATGGACCAGTTGCCTATCTATCGAGATCATTAGACCTAAATCCTTAATTTTTTATTGAAAAATGTTTTTATTTTAATGACTTCTAACAGTTAAAAATTACTAACTTTGGAATTACCCTGAATAATGTTCATATTTCTTTTAAATCGGACTTTACTATTAAAGTCAAATATTTTATAGTAATTTGACAGCAGCCCAGTTCATAGGAAGTGTAATGTTGCAATGTAAATGTTGTTTTCACAAAGGGAATCTAATTCGAAATCTGGTTGTTGTTCGGACTGTCTGTTAGCGAAATAAAGGAAATAGGGAAATAGGAAAGTTTATTTTCAATGAAAAGTAGAAAGTATTATTATAATTAATCCAAAAATTAATTTTGGCAAAGACTTGAGTCTTTCTCTCATTACTGTCATGAAAATTCTTAAAGCCTACCCTGTGTACGCACGCAAGCGACTCGTGATCGAAGCAACGCTGACGTGTGGAAACAGCCGGCCCGCGTCTCGAACAGCCGGTCCGCGTCTCGAATGTACAAGAATACGAGGGAATGTCTGCCGCTGATGCACTGGAAGCAACTGGAACGGCGGGGAGTGCCGATTGGTCATAGGGGTAGAATCTTCACGAAGTCTCTAGCATTTTCCAGTAGCGGAGTTAGACTAATATAAATAGCCGACGTATCAGAGCCGAGTTAAGTTTAATATAGAACATTGTATTGAAAAGTTAAAGTGTAAGAAATAAATTAGAATTGTTAGTTAGCATCTAAATATTATATAAATTAAATAGTACGTCTGAAATAAATTGTAAATAGTGTTCTTAAATAAATAAACTTTAAATAAATTAAGACTTTCGTCACATTACTTTTATAATGAAAACATCCTTGACCAGTGATAACTCATCTTTTTTACCTAGTTGCTTCATCCAATAACAAAACGACTGGATTCTTTAAAAGGGCTCTTGCAATCGCAATTCTCTGTTTTTGACCTCCAGATAAGGTAACTCCTCTTTCACCAACATGTGTATTGTATCCCATTGGAAAATTATTAATAAAATCGTCAGCATTTGCTAACGATGCTGCTTGCTTTACCTAAAATTGATCAATAAACCTATTACATCACGAATTACCTTAAAAAGTACGATTTTAGGAACAATTGCTTTTTAAAACATAAATTAAAAAACCAGAAAGTAAAATATTATTTTGAGAAAAGTGAAAGGAGGAACAGACAGACTAATGATTAATTAACAGCACTGTATTAGAAAGGTTTTCAAAGTTTTCCAGTTATTACCTCCTCATCTGTAGCATCCGGTTTACCATAACGAATATTTTCCATAATAGATGTTCCAAACAGGACCGGTTCCTGACTAATTAAACCCAAAATGTGTCCTCTTAACCAAGATGGATCAAGAGATTTAATATCATGACCATCTATTGTTATGGTACCATCTTTAACATCATAAAATCTGTAAGTAAAAAAAAATTCGTTAAAAACAGCATCCCTTCAATGAAAATACATTTTCGGGAAAATCACGAAATTCGAATATTTTACGATTTTTTGAAATATCATGATCAGTTCCAATGACAAAAATGCAGCGAGTTAGAAGTACGAATTGGAATTTCAAAAAAAAGTGCATAAAAAAATTATATTTAGAAGGAGAATATTGTTTAAAAATTGACAAGCATTTTTAAATAGATACATCAGTTACTCTTACAATCCACCTTGTATAAATAATGAAAAGAGAGGCAACATACACGTCATCAATCAGTTGTGAAGTCATAGCCTTGCAGTGTTGCCCAATCTTCAAAATGGTCTAAGAATGTAGGAATTTTTAAAACTATGTGGTTATGTTTTTTTGGCTATGTTATTAGGAACAATTAATTTTAAATGTATAATGAATTCTATATAAAAGCCAATGAAGGTCATTGATAATGTTTAAATTGAAGTTTCAGAAAAACACTGAATTTAATAGTAATAAATTTTGCACAAGAGGTTTAAAATGACAAAAAAGGTTAGGTTAAGGATGAAAAAACAAACAAATTTTATTTAGGCTTGATTTAATTTACAATAAAAAATAATTATGTTCAGTTAGTTTATAAACATCCATATTTAAAAGAATAACAATAATTAGAACAGTTAGGTAATAAAATTCACATGACATTTTAAAACTTAAATAATTTTTAAGCTAAAATCAGTCAGAATAATCAGAACTAAAATCAGAATCATCTCTATTTGGTGTTATAATAATGGGAGCAATTTCCAATCGGTCCAGTATATGCTCTCTTTCACACCATTTAAAAATTTCTTTTTCAGTGTGTCTTACACTGTTTGCCCACATTTGTGGGGTAATGGTTCGGAGTGCTTCAGACCACATGTCTATACAATCTCTTTGTGTCTTTCCATCCCGACCAATGTGCCTGTTATAAATTGTTTTGAAATACCCCAAATCAGTTCTATTGGATTAGAAATAGGAGGAAGACGTAACACCTTATGTCCATACTGTTCAGCCAGCATATCAGCTACATATATTTTTGGTGGTTTATTACTAAAAAAAATCATTTAAAAAATACAGAAAAAGTAGATTTCTAGTACTCACCGTCTAACAAGGTTCAAAAGTTCAGCCTTAAACATGGTGACTGAATAAGGTATGTTCTGATTCGTCAACCACTCTTGAATTTGAACCTTAGTCGAATTACTATTCGGTGTTTTGTGTGCCAATGTGCTATGGTATGAAGCATTGTCCTGTGACAGGCTTCTGGTTCACCTACTGTGAATCAACGAGTCTGTGTGGCGCTGTAATGGTGATTCCCGAATATGGGTTGCTCAGGCGCCAGTTTTGGTAGCACAGTTTGCTCTGCGACCCTGTAGTACACCAGAGTGCACTCAAGGTAAACTCAGTGGAGGTAAAATAATTCCAGGCGGTCACTGCTAGATAATCACTAAACTAGAGTAAATAAAACTAAAACACTTATCTTCTTTCTACCTCGTACTCTACGGTACCCTGAAAGAGAACGGTCAAGAACCAGCAATAATAGAAACACAGAAACAGATAATAAAATATATATTTACAAAAAAAATACAATAGTGCAGGTGCACGGGTCTGGCACGGCGGTAAAACAGAAAATTATATAAAGGAACAATTAAAATTATACTAGCCTGCAAGAAAATAATAGCGGACCTTAAATACAGCGGAAAAGAAAATAAATATTAAAAGTAAATTGATACAATTGCGGTTAGTTAAATACTACGGTCCCCGGTAGTCATAAGATTTACTGAAAATAAATTAATACACTTGAAAACAATTTAAATAATGAGAAACAGTTACGGTTCGCTAGCACAGGAGGCTATTTAATTATTGACGGATCCCCGTATTTGGAAAATTTAATAAAAATAAATTATTAAAGTTGAAAACTATTTGAATATTGACGGATCCCCGTATTTGGAAAATTTATTAAACATTAATTATTAAAGTTGAAAATTATTTAAAAATTGACGGATCTCTATATTCGGAAAATTTGTTAAAAATAAATTACCAAAGTTGAAAACTATTTAAATCAGATCCCCGTATTCGGAAAATTTTATAAAAATAAATTATTAAAGTTGAAAACTATTTAAAAATTGACGGATCCCTCTATTCGGAAAATTTGTAAAACATAAATTACTAAAGTTGAAATATATTTAAATATTGACAGATCCCCGTATTCGGAAAATTTAATAAAAATAAATTATTAAAGTTGAAAATTATTTAAATATTGACGGATCCCTACATTCGGAAAATTTGTTAAAAATAAATTATTTGAACGTAGGGAAATATTTGTGAAAAATAAATTATTATTATTGAAAATTATTTAAACATATTGACGGATCCCTATATTCGGAAAATTTGTTAAAAATAAATTATTTAAACGTAGGGAAATATTTATGAGAAATAAATCATTATTATTGAAAATTATTTAAACATATAGAAATATTTATGGTTTATTAGCTCAGGAGGCTAATGGGAATTGCGAAACACCCAGTATACGGAAAATGTATGTAAATAAATTAATACACTTAAAACAATTTAAATATGACGGTAATCAAATGCAAACAAATAAATGAACTCAAAATTGTCGGAGCTCCCTTGTATATTAATAACCAAACGATGAGAAACGAAAATTCTCGTTTACTGATAAATATGGTTTATTTACCCGGTGTTTTGAACGGCGACCACGACGGTTGTAGAAAATAATATTTTGGAATTTTGCCCAGAGTCTATCGAGAGCGTATGTGTGAATTTAATTTTACAGAAGTCGTCTGACTTCGTTTAATAATTGTGGACAGGGGAAACGGAATGATTCAAATACAGCTGAATAAAAAAAATATTAAAAGGAAAGAAATTTTACACGAAGTGAGGCAGGAAATTATTTTAAACGTTTTTTTTTTGAAATTAGATACGTTGTCAGGAGAGAGCCCTCTAGCCCGAGAACAGATCGAACCTCCAAAAAAAAATAAAGTAAAACAATAAATACTAAAAAAAATGAAACAGGTCGAACCTCTCACTTCGATGTTAACTGGGCGGTTTTTAAAAGAAAATGGATGTAGTCATTGACAGAGAGAGCGCTCGGAGTCTAGTCTATGTCCAACCTCAAATAAAAAATTGTCCCAATTAATTATATAAAAGCCAATACAAAAAAATAATATACGGTTCCTACCTTAACAAATCCAAGGGGTTAACCAATTAATTATTCAAGATCACGGCACTACACGGCGTATTCACTATAAATTAACAAAATATGAGTACTTCTCGGGTGTCGGGAATCAAGAGGATGTCATTTCCAGCTCTCAATGAATTTATGCTTTTTCGGTAAAGCAAGATGGGAGACCAGTAAGACAAAGTGGGGTTAACACTACTACAGCCGACTGTTTACAATTTAGAGATATAAAAAATGTCCTTCTAGTACCTTGACAATTAAAACTAGATAATTCATACGAAATCGACTCTAAAAATGCCCATTCGGATTTCGGCAAATATAAGAATATTTTAATCTACGAAGGTACTCGCAATTGTTGAAAAACGGTAATTCCTGGGAAACAGAAATACGGGGGAACTTCTACATGTTCTCAGGCGGGAAGTAATTGAAATATAAATTTTAAATAAATAATTTGAAATAAATAAAAAATAAAATTAGTGACTTCGTCACAGTCCATTACAATTAAAGATGGTTCATGCAGTCTTCAAAGCAATTGTTCTTCGAACCATTTTAAAAAATTTTCATTATTCATCTCACCGTGATAATCATAATCATTGCTTTTTGAAACAAATATGGTCTCGGCACCATCAATAAATCCATTTTTGTACTTTTTACACTTCTTTTATTGCTGTCTTGCCAAGAACGGTTCATGGTGCCATTTTGGAAAATCCAAGTCTCATCAATAAAAACAAACTGGTACAAATTTGCTTCCTTTTCTTTGGTATATTTTCTTAAAAATTCTGCCCGTTTCACGGCAATATCTGGAAGTTCCATAAGACCTCGCCTTGGTTCATCTTTCTGCCATTTGAAACCTATTTCTAATAATAAGGTATGCAATGACATCCATTGAACAACTCCTTCTCATTAAGTTTCACCAACAAAGAATCTAAACTTACATGCTCCTCTGAAATCATACATTAATTTGTAATTGTTTAATAATAATTTATATACATATACATATATACATATATATATAAAATTCACAAACGAACACCACTATTAAATTCCTAATAAATTTGTTCTGAAAAGAACAGTTTGTTAATAATTTAATCTAAAATACAAATAATTTGTTGAAAAGAAATCGATCGATGCAAAATAATACAAAACGAATAACAATTGACAACAATGTATTAAAATTGAAAGCCGACACATTTGATGCCAACTTTTATTATGAAATTCACTAGAAAGTATTCCGTTAATAATCTGCCTACAGTACATTTACTACTGTGATATGATAAAAAATACATTTTTTATATGCAATTTTATAAAAATGAACTCCATGCGTCTAAATTTATTCATTTATTTGCAAAATAAAATTTAATTATTTTTATTAGTGTGTGTGTGTGGTACCAATGACTGTCACTGACGTCATCTCTGACGTGCATCGGTTTTTATATTGAATGCTCTATAAAAATATAAGTTACAAGTAAAAGTTTTTAAAGGATTTTATTTGTATTCCGAACGTTTCATCATAAAGGACTCAGTTCTGATAAAGTACGAACCACCAATTAGCGTTGCTCGAATTTAACTAGCTTTTAGAAATAAAACATACAAACCTTTCCAATAAAGCTACAACAGTGGACTTGCCGTTGCCAGACGCTCCTACTATAGCAACCGTTTTTCCCGCTGGTACTCTAAGATTAAAATCTTGCAAAATGGTCTGAAACAAGAATATCAATACAAAAAACCAATTTGAAATTATAGACGACATTACCTGTTGAATCCTAGTTGGATACGCAAAATAAACATTCTTAAATTCAATATCTCCTCTTACTGAATCATATGGTAATATTGTTCCCCCTACAAGGGACATTGTTGGTACCTCATTAATAAACTAAAAAATTAAATATACCTATAATATCAATAACAGAATTGTATTTAAATAATTATTTTGTAAAATATTTATAACTGTCTATAAAACAATATTTTAAATAAAAATCCCATTATGTACAATTTTATAGTAGACACACCATATGGGTGTCTTGCCTATTAAATTGAAAATATACAGTGTAATCCGCATAAGTACTAACAACACAGAACAGGTACGTGTTGGGCACCCCAAAATATGATGATTTAATGCAATATTTACCTCTATACCAAGTTGTACCCCGAAGCCTAAAGTGGGGCCATACATTTCGAAATGATTTAATATCTCTGCAACCGTGTAACTTAAAAAAATCTATATTTGGTAAATTATTTAAGCGCTTAATGAGTCTTAATTTAGGGGTGAGTAAGAATTCATTGAAATATTTTAAGGGTGGTTTTGAGGCAACACACCCTTATAAATGTACATAACTTTTTGTACACCTGCCGATTTTGTAACATTTTTATTTCATTTTATGCAAAAATTTTCTTATTCTTTTCATTTTTCAATAAACTTAATATTTTTCGAGAAAAACGAGAAAAATTAAATCAATGCATTATGATAATGATAATAAATTTAAGCAAAATCAAATTACTTTTAATAAAATCGATTTAAATGAGAACACAATTAAAACTAATACTAATAATAATAATATCTACATAATACAAATTAAGTAAACTTGGCCCCACTTTAGGCTTCCGTAACTCCTTAGGGGTACAACTTGGTATAAAGGTAAATTGCGTTAAATCATATTTTGGGATGCCTAACAGGCATCTATTCTCTGTCGGTACTTATGCGGAACACTCTGTATAATTAAAATTGCAGTTTAAGAAATCTACGCACGTTAATTTTTTGATTGATTTATGACTAAATTAACTTAGTGTTTGTTCTGTGACAGCCAAAAGTAGTTTCTGACAATGGAAAACTTATTATTCCTGACGTTTCCTAAGATATGAATCCATTCTTATTGGGCCACTCGGTATAATAAACATATTTATTTCATATAAAACACCAAAGTGGCCAATATTACAGGAAAAAAACGATAATTCCAGCAAACGTGCAACTAAAAAACTTTAATCGCCATCAGAGCTAGGCAGGGATTGAGTACTTTGTGCTTGAAGCACTTTGAGGGCTAGATAGCCCTATGCTCCAAGCCCTTGTATAAACTTGTAATTGGGGTTGGCAAGTCAATTACTTCAGAAAGGTGCTTGGTAATTTGTAATTGAAAAAAGTTATTTAAGTCCTTTCAATGAACTTCAATTACTTTCAAAGGGGTTGAAGCACTTTTGGGAGCTTTAAGCATTTTAAAATAGCTTGAAGCACTTTGAAATGGCTTGAAGCCCTTTCATGCACGTGTATTCAGTTAAGTAGATTTCTGTATTTATAACACGCTTTTTTTTATTAACTTGGTATCTATGAATGTATCTTTGAACGTGATTTTCACCTCCTTCAAAACGTCGGATTGGGTTTTATTTAAAGAATTTGTTTTAAGTTCCTTTGTAATGTAATTAACAAAAATTACTTGGAAGTCCTAACAGAACTGGGTAGCCAAAACAGACTAACCTTAGCCTGGGTAACAGGCCACAGAGGACATAAGGGCAATGAAGAGGCTGATTTACTAGCCCGAGAAGTAGCCTCAAAGGCTCTTATTGGCCCAGAACCCTTCTGTGGTGTCACAAAGACAACTATCGGAACATGTACAAAGCAGTGGATGTTTAAAAAATCTCAGAAGTGGTGGAAAAACTCACCAGGACAAAGACAGACCAAAGAGTTCTTAAAAGGACCATCGCCTAAACTCATCTACTAAGCCTTAATAGGAAAAATACTAGTAGGTCTATTAACAGTGCATTGTAGGCTTAACAAACATATGTATAATATCGGTCTGATAGAAGAGACCTTGTGCCGATTCTGTCAGGAAGAGGAGAAAACGGCAGAACACGTATTATGCTACTGCGAAGGTCTAGCAAGACTAAGATTCCTTACACTTGGAGAAGAAAAACCAAGGGCAACTAGCTATACCGGAGAACTACTTCCCAGTCTATGGAGTCTACTACAAAAGACTGAACTAGACAAGGTACTCTAAACAACGATTAAAGGATATCCACAATAGATCTGAAAAGGTCGAGGTGGGGAGGCCACATGGCCCACAGTCCTAATTAAATCTAATCTAACATAAATTATAACCTTTTTTTGGACAGAATTTACTATTATTATTTCTTAATTACTATAGTTTATAAAGAATAGAAAATTAACTTTTATCTACTTCTTTTTAATTTGTATTAAAAGAATATTATTATAAGTTCTTCTTGTAATAAATATAAACAAATAACAATATTGTTTTATTTTAATATGTATTAATACAGCGTTAAGCTGATGACTGAAGTACGTGGTAGATTCTGACACTTTGAGAATTTTATTACACATTCAAAGGGCTTTAGGAACATTTAAAGAACTTCAAGCACTTTTGATCTACTTCAAACACTATTCAAATCCCTTTGAGGCCTTTGTGCTTGGGAAGCACTTTCGAAAATAAAAAGGAATTTGTGCTTGAAAATGTTAGCACTTTGAAAAGGAGCTTAGGGCTTAGTGCTTCAAGCTCTTTCACTGAGGACTTTGCCCAGCTCTGATCGCCATGTTTTTAAACTTCCAAATTTAAATTTTTTTAGAGTTGCAAGAACCGTTTTTGAAAAATTAGAATTTCTATCACTCTGTATGTTATGGATGAATTTGCTAGTTAAACATTGTTATGCAATATAACGTGGGATGCGCAAAAAATGTTTCTAAAGTAGACTATGACTGACAAAGACAGAGATACGAGTTACGTCCGTGAAAACTACAAACGCCTCTGAATTAAATACAAACTGTCATTTAAGCTTTTCTTCCACAATGTTTGTCTAATGTGAGATTTGAGAAAATTCATCTATAATAGAAAGATAATGACATTTAATTAGCTGATATTAAACCATTTTTTTTTTCCTAAAATGTAAACTAGTATGACAGGCCTTCCTGTTTCACCTAATAGTAAATCGAAAGGCATAGTTGGCACCAGGCTGTTCTCTAGGACAAGGGTTGCCCGGGCGCCAGTTTTGAGTGCACCTTAAGCACAACCAAAGTAAACTCAGTGGAGGTAAAATGATTCCAGGCGGTCACCGCTAAAGGAGTAGTCACTAAGGTGAATAAGGCACAAGCCGCGAACCGCGGCGGATGGCAGTCGCGCGGATGTTAAATTATATAGGGATATATGCTGACAACGCACTGGCATCCGCGTACATAAATTAACATCCGCGCGACCGCCATCCGCCGCGGTTCATGCGTTGTTCACTTAACAATAAAGTAAATAAAACCCTACACTACCTTACACCTTGTACCCTACGGTACCGTGAACAAAAATGGTTGGGATTCGGTAATAAAAGAAAAGTAACACGGGAATTATTAACAAAATTATATTTTAAAATAAAACAAAATAAAATAATTCAGAAATAAAATAAAATAATCAAAAATAAAATAAAAGGTGCTACCGGCACTCCCTGTATAATAGGGGAATGCATTTTCAATTACTAACTGTTTAACTCACAATAGTTAAATAAAAAAAAAATAGATCGGAAATAAAAAAACGGTACTACTTGTACTCCCTGTATAATAGAAAATGAATTTGCAATTAAATAATTGTTTAATCACAAAAATTAAACAATAAAAATAAAATAGTGCAAAGGAGACAAATTAAATGGTAATAACGACATTCTCTGTATGATAGAAATAGTATAATACGTAACAAGAGTTATAAGTAATCCACTACGCACGAAGTGAAAAGTTTACGTAAATTTCACGAGTGCGTAATAGGCTTACAACTCGTGTAACGTATTATACTTTTTCTACGCCCACTTATTTGCTTCTATTAATTAAAGGACATATGCGTGTGTCGCCAATCCATAAATTTTCGATAGGTAATTTCGTACTTTTATTTGGATTTTAGCATTAATAAATTATGTGTGACAGCTTGAGCTTTTTCTAAAATCTCCGGTGTAGCGCTCATAATTCCATCACTTTTACTACTAACAGACATATTCGTAGGTAAAGTTGAGAAAATGTTCGAATACAATAATATTTTGTTACAAAAAATGACAATATAAATGGCAAGACGTTTATTTCCATAGCATGCTAAGAAAACGTTTAGAGACATCACTTTTTTAATCCAAAATGTATCTCGCTAATGCTAAAAGTTTTTGTTTTTCAATTGACTAAATTTATGTTAATAGACCAAATAAACGTAGATACGTAGATAAAAATTTGATTACAATTTGATTAAACTAAGAAATTTAAGTTTTCTTATCAAAACGCACGTGTATGTTATGAGATCTCATTACGTGCATGTTATTGTTAAATATCATTTACAAAGAATGTTGACAGTGCGATTTTTAACGTTTACTAACATAGGCGTGGAAAAACTGTATTCTAATTGCCCTGCTGGGTTCACGACGGGGAAAATAAAATATTTTAATACTGCGATCAGGAAACATAACGACGAATATGAATTATTGGTAGATACTTAGTGTTGGATATTAGCGTAGATGACGCTTCAGTTTTCAGACTGGCTGAACAACTAATTACTCGAACGGTACTCCGCCGTCGAGGAGTACATCGGTATAGAAATTATTACTGCCTGAGTGAGACTCATTTTTGTCATCAGTAGGAGTTTGCTCCTAAGCTTATTTCGTCTTCTTTACTACCATGTCCACGTGCTTGGTGTAGGTGAATTTTTAGTCCATTATAACTCCGAGGTATCTGGCTGATTCGGTATGTCCTGTCCATTCATCGCTATTTCCTCTCCTGGTGGGTGTTGTCTCCTCTTAAATAGCACAGCCTGTGTCTTCTCCGCGTTGATCTTGATCTTCCATCTTATGCATCATTCTTCTATGTCTTCTGCTGCGCCTTGTAGATATCTTGATATAAGTCCTGGGTGTGTGCTTGTTGCCGATATCGCTGTGTCGTCCGCGTAGAGGGACATGGTAGTATGTTGGGTTTTGGGGATGTCCGCTGTGTAACTGGCATACAGCAGTGGTCACAATACCGCTCCTTGGGGTACTCCCACTTCCGGAATTCCTGGTCTAGATAGGACATGTCCCACCTTGATCCGAAATTGCCTTCCGCCGAGGTACGACCTGAGCAGCCTTGTCTTACCTGCTGTGTACCCTTGGCCCTTCATCTTGAAAATCAGCCCAGCGTGCCATATTTTGTCGACATCCAAGAATTTGGTTCCTGTAGACTGATTTCTGTTGAATCCTCTAGTGGAGAGTCCACTTCGTGTAATTCGAATTCTTATACTATTTTCCTCGGACTAGCTCGGTCCTCGACGGTTCGATGGTTCTAAGGGGGAGTACTACTTCCCAAATCTACTGTTTACAATCGGGACTGACAAAAAAATGTCCATAGCGAAATTTGCGAGATACTTTACAAGAACTTGAGCGTTTAAAACAAGATTCGAATTTCGGTAAAGAATGATCTACTTTAAACTCTTGCAAATATTTAAAAAAAAAAACGAGAATTTTAGAGAAATAACAATTACGGGGGTTCTCGCAAATGTTCGCAAGCGGAAATTAACTTTTAGTAGACAATTTATAAATTAAATTGGGAAAAAAATTAGTGACTTCATCACACTACATAAGTAATTTGGCTGCAAAAAAATATTGTCACTTATTCTCACCTCAAAAATCCTTGACCCCGCAGATAATCCTCTAACTACTGAACCAAACAGTAACGATATCTGGGCTAGAGAGCGTTGTATTGTCTGAGAAGCCATTAAATAAGCCATAACTTCTCCTGCCGATAATTGATTTGTAGATAATAAATAACCACCCATATATAATGTTGATAAAACCATACTAAAAAGAGAAATAACTATTTGTTTGTTTTGAGAAAAATCGTTAATTTTCAAATGTCAAAAAGTTTTTGATTTCTAGTTCATGATAAACAAAAAATCAGTTTAGACGAAATTAAAGATACCTCTTTAGCGGCAATTTTTAAAAGTATATTAAGACCTAATTTACATATTATTAAATAACACAAAGGCAATGAAGAACATTAACAATATGAGTAGGTATTATTATTATTCCATAAATTGTTTACTTATTTACCTATTTATAAACATATTAGTTCCAGCTTGAAACAAACCTATTCCCATACCCAAATTTTCATTGAACGACATTGCTAATTCAGCTTCATTATTAAATAATTCCATTTCTTGGTCTTCCATAGCAAATGCTCTGACAGTTCTGATGTTACCAATTGCTTCATCAGCTACAGCAGTGGTTTTTTCTACCTAAGAATGGTATACAATTTAAAATTGAAAGATTTAATAAAACACAAATTAACAAACGCTTTTTGAAAATGTTTGCCAGTATTTTAAGAATATTTTATAAAATTTTCATCCGTTAGCATTTTAACAGGTATAAAAATACACAGTACCAAGAAACTGTTCTGCCTACACAAAAACGCTTCCCCAAAAAAAATATGCGGGGTATTATTAAAATACAATTAGTAAGTAAATAATAAAAGTTACAAGAGCGTATAGTGTAGGTCAGAATTATTTTACGTTGTTTCCCAATTAGATTTCAGTTATATTTTTATATACAGTATGGTTCAAATGAAAGGAATAAATTTATTATAATGGAAGTAGTTGGTTTTTCGAAATAATGCTCGGACAGGTCAATTTTGTTTACTTGAAGCGCAATTTTTTAAATAGAATTCAATTTTCCCCCACTTCCCATTTTTGGGCAGTGACGTCATTGTCAATTTTTTTAAATAGTAACTCCAATTTTTTTTTCTTGATTTTGATAGATCTTGCAATTTCCTACTCGGAAACATAATATTTGAAATATCTTACATAACAATTTTTTTTGAATAAAAGTCATTTAAAGATCAGTTACATACAATTTATTTTATTTTGAAACACAATAAATGAATAAAAGATAATTATTTGTAATTAAGTGCTTCATCTAAAAAAACAACAATAATAATAATAATAATAATAATAATAATAATAATAATAATAATAAAAAGAATTTAATGACAATTTCACAAATTCTTTTTTATTATTATTTTGTTAGATTAAGCACTTAATTACAAATAATTATCTTTTATTCATTTATTGTGTTCTCAAAATAAAATAAAATTTATGTGTCTGATCTTTAAATGACTTTTATTCAAAAAAAATATTATGTAAGATATTTCAAATATTATGTTTCCGAGTAGGACATTTTAAGATCTATCAAAATCAAGAAAAAAAAATTGGGGTTACTATTTAAAAAAATTGTCAATGACGTCACTGCCCAAAAATGAGAAGTGGGGGAAAATTGAATTCTATTTAAAAAATTGCGCTTTGAGTAAACAAAATTGACCTGTCCGAGCATTTTTTCGAAAAACCAACTGCTTCCATTATAATGAATTTATTCCTTTCATTTGAACCATACTGTATATTGTAAGTATTGTAACCACTCGGATGTTGCGCCATATCGTTGGACTGATATATGGCTCTCTCATCAGTGCAACTCATGTTTCGTATGTCTGGGTAATAGTCTAAAGATTTTGATTTAAATCAAACATCCCCCATCCTTGTGGCTAATTAAATATATATTTTTTACAATATGTATAAATAATCACAACTCGACAGGGTTGATGCCCCATAAATTATTAAATTTTAAAATTGACTGTCCCGAACTACTTCGTCAACTAATGTTTAATGTTCCTAGTATCAGAACTCGCTCCCCTTTTTATTTCTATTTTCAGACACCCAGGACAAATATTTTAAAATTTTCTCCAATGTATTTTATGTATCAAAATTTTTGTGAACTTCAAAATGGTGTTGATTTATTTTCTATTTGAATTAAAGAAATAAAACGCTTAATTGTGGACTGAGTTAATTATCATAAGACAACGTAATTATTTCTCCTAACGGAGTTTTTTTTTGCGTTTTCTTATGATGGTTAAAAACGTTTATTAAACTATTTTTTGTTTACATATATTTATGCTATTATTAGTATTTAATATTTTGTTATTATTTTTATGATGTAAATTATACTGTAACTGTAATTATTTTTGTGCCCATCCTGTAATTGGTTTTATACTGTTGGATGGTGTAACCCAAATAAATAAATAAATAAATAAACATTATTTTCTTAAAAATGCAAATAAAACACCAAAGTAGGCTTGGTTACCTTAGTGCTGGCCGAAAATACCGGGATGGCAGATAAATACAAGTAAGCTGATTTACCTTCATAATTTATTTTAACATAATTATAAATAAAAATGTAGATACTTTTATTACAAACATTATTATCATACATCATACGAAGGCGTAGAACCGTCACAAAAAAAATTATAAAAAAATAACACAATAATTAATAGTAAAAGAAGAATGATTCATCAGCGCTTTGCTCAAATTGTGAAAGGTGCATAAAATTGGGATTGTTAAAGAGTGATCAACAAAAAAATGTTTCAAAGGTACCTACCAGTTTGGCTCTGAATTAAATTGAAACAGACACTTAAAAAGAAGAATTGTAGGCTCCGACATGCATAAATTTTTCCAAGGCATACTTTAGAAACAGTTTTTTGTTGATCACTCCATACAATGTTTTTATATTTATAAGAAATACTTATAAAATTAAGGGTTAGAGAAGTGGGATGATTTTTTAAAAGAACACCAGAGGCCTATTTCATAAAACTACTTTACAACATTTCACTTTACAAATTTACGAGTGCAAAATACTTTGCAGATTTTTAATTTTTTATTTTCACTTTTCAAATTGCTTTTCAAATTTTACTTTTTTACTCGTCAAATTTCTTTTTTATTAAACATAAATTTACTAAAATATGCAAAGTGCAAAGTGAAAAGTTGCAAAGTAGTTTTATGAAATAGGCCCCAGGTCTTAAAAACTGAAAATTGGAATTTCTAACGAAAATATAAAACTGAGTACGACTACAACCATTCTGTACTGGATTTGACTTGTCCCTCTTTGAAATATCATCAAATGGTATTGCAAAATAAAATCGAGTATACAGATCAATAACATAACGTAACTAATATTTGTACACATTCAAATAGTTCATGATTATTAATCAAAAAATAATCTATTACATTCTATTCAAATTGATTCGATTAATGAAGTCGTTGATGCTGCTAATATAACAAATAAAATTAATTTAAATGAAAAACTCCTAAATGTCATACATTTCAATATTAGGAGTATTAAAAAGAATTTTGATGAGCTGTTAGTATTTCTAGAAAGTTATAAAATTAATTATTGTGATATAATAGTTTTGACTGAATGTTTCCAATTAGAATCTATTTCTCAATTTAACCTAGATGGCTTCACCACCCACTATAACAATGGTAACATTAACAGAAATGATGGTGTTGTAATTTTGGTCAGGTCAAATCTAAATGCAGAATTAAATATAGTTAAACTGGAATATTCTGATATTTGTGTCACTAAAATAAATCTAAAAGTCAATCATCGGACCATTGGCATTACAGGTGTATACAGGTCTCCTCAAAGCTCTGCACAAGCATTTATAAGGGATTTAGAAAAGTTCATACCAAATCACCTAAATAGAAATATTGAAATATTCATAGGGGACATTAATATTGATCTCCTAAATGTAACCAATCAAGTGTTAGCTTCCAGTATTTATTACATACACATTTGCTAGATACTCCCTGTAGTATTTTTGGGTGCGGTGCGCTTTCGCTGACACAAGATATTCTGCTAATATTTCGATGAGTGGACAGATGCAGTTTTTGACAAGGAAGAAAGGGAAATATATACCGGCATTTGAGACAATCATTATTAGCTGTTCAACCATTATTAATTAGTAAAGTTTATTTTTGTAAAGTGAATTTCTATTGCCCCTTAGCTAATACAAGTAACTACTGATTACCAAGCAACTTTTTACTCCCATAGTTTCATGTCTTACATAAACACTATTACGAGGCCACAAAGTAAAACATGCTTGGATCATATATTCTTAAAAAACAATATTAAGACTGAAAATATATCGGTGAACTCTTATGTAATCAGCTATGATATGACTGATCATGATCGTATGATGATAAATATCTCACAATCTGCCAAAAACTACACAAGTTCCTACAATAGGTACATATAAAACTATAACTAAAATCGATACTGATAAATTAAAACAAAAATTCGAAACTGTAAACTGGGAAAGTGTTTGCAATGAAAATAATCCAGAAATTGCAACACAACTTTTTTATGTCACGTATCTTAATATCATTGAAACATGTCAAACCACTCAAAATATTAAAATTAAAATCCATAAAAAATAAAGCCATGGATAACAAATGTTTTAATTAATTCTATTAAAACTAGGGATAAACTTAAAAAAGATCTACAAAAAAACTATACTATTAACCAACAAACTCACTATAAAACATTTAGAAATAAATTAAACAAACCAATATCAAAAACTAAAAATGACTATTATAACAATAAAATAAACTAAAACAAAAATGATCTGAAAAAAACTTATCAATTAATCTCTGAAGCAACTAATGAAAATCATAAAAAAAATAATACCAATTTACAGATTGTTAACCAACATAATGAGGAATTTGAAAATGATAATGAAATGGCGAATTACTGCAATAACTACTTTTCGACTATTGGCACTAATATGTTCACAAATATCCCTGAATGAAATGTGGATTTTCCTGTGTCACTGAAAAATCAATGTTTCTGAAACCGATATGCGAAAACGATATAAAACACATAAATAGTTTAAAAAACAATAGTGCCCCGGGATTTGATTGTATAACAGTGAAACATCTGAAACTAATATATCATTATTCACTGGAACCTTTAATGCATATCATTAATTGTATTTTTCATACAGGAATCGCACCTAAACAATTTAAAACTTCAATTATAACACCTATTTATAAAATTAATAACTAACTATAGACCTATTAGTTTATTTAGTAATGTGGCCAAAATATTTGAGAAATGTGTGAAAGATAGACTGACAGATTTTTTTAAAAATTAATGACTTACTTCCCAAGCACCAATATGGCTTTACTGAGGGTCTTAACTCAGGAGATGCTATGCATGAATTGATTTCATATGTTACTGATGAAATGAATACTGGTAACAAGTGTATAGCTATATTTCTAGATCTAGCAAAAGCATTTGACACGGTGCCACATCAGAAACTCTTAAATGTTCTTGAACAGAATGGAGTGAGGGGCATCGTGTTGAAGGTTTTTGAAAATTATTTGACACACAGACAACAGGTAAAGGTCAGAGACAATGTGAGTAACCCTGAAAATATACAAATCGGAGTGCCTCAAGGAACTGTTCTGGGACCTATACTATTTAATGTATACATTAAGAGCTTAACTCAGATTGATATTCAAGGTAAAGTTGTATCATATGCTGATGATGATGCTAGTCTTCAGTTATAAAAATTGGGAAGCCGTCAACACACGTGCTTTAGCTGGAATGGAACATGTCAGAAACTGGCTGGATGTTTTTAAATTGTCTTTGAATGTTATCAAAACAAACTGCATTATTTTTTTAAAGACAGTGGCTGATCGACCTCAATTTAGAAGACTAACATATCAAAATTTAGACATACAGGAAACTGAAATATCCAAATATTTAATTATAATTATAGACCAGCACTTAAAATGAGACTGCCATACAATATACAGGGTGGCTCACGCTCAACGGGACGGAGCTTTATGGGAAAACGACCAAAGATATAAAAAATTCGTTTGGGAGGAATACGTAGGTTACAGACGGCTACAATTTAAAATTTGTTAGATGTATACAGGATGTCTCACATAAGAGAAAATATACAAAGTTATATTATTTTTAATGGAACACCCTGTTTTTTATTTTAAAATTAAAAACTACATCAAAAATAATGTCAGTTAACTAAAGGTTCCCTGTTACTATTATTATTATTAGTTTTCGATTTATTTGAATTTTTAAGGGAAAAAAGTCTCCCAGAAATTAATTGTTTACTCTTGTTTGAATAATTTTTAATGAACTAATTTTTTTTTTCTTTTTATATCTTTGGTCGTTTTCCCATAAAGCTCCGTCCCGTTGATTTATAAATTTTATCTTCTAAAACAATTTCTCAACCAGGATCTACTAATAACATTATACTACAGTCTAGTAGAATCTATACTACGGTATGGAATCTTAGTATGGGGAGGTCTGTATGGAACTACATTAAATCAGTTAAATGTTATTCAAAACAAAATCTTGAAGTTAATATATAAAAGAGATAGATTGTGCCCCACCATAACTTTATATAATGAAAAATTAGCAATGTTAGATGTTTATATATTTACGCAGTGTGTTGTTATATACAAAAAAATGAATTTTTAAAAAACCCTTTAGAACATAGACGTAACACTAGAACTGCATCGAACATGTGCATTAAAATACCAAAACCAAATAGTGAGTTTTTTAAAAACAGTGTAAATTATCTAGGGACAAAGTTCTATAACGCTCTACCTCTTCATATAAAATTATTAAACAAATATAAAAAATTCTGTTAGCAAAATATACATTTTCCAAAATAATGCAGTTTATCACAATATTCCAAAAATAACGGACTTAATACATGGATTTTTTTTAAATAGTTTTTTCTGTTTCTTGCATAAATTATTTTTATTTAAAAAATAAATGTTTTTTTTTTATTTCTTTTATAATTCATTAAATATAATTAAAATAAAATTTTAATTTTTGTCAGCACATACAGGTGTTCTCACCTAGGTGCTTGTTATTATATAATTGGTTTCCACTTATAACTATTATTAAACTATTATTATATATTTAATTAATAATAAAGAAACACGTGTTTTGCTCTTTTTTTATAAAACTATCTTGATTAACTTTACTTTATATTACCTGAGCTTGGGCCTTTCTTGATATCGACCTTAGTAGAGAACCAACAATTGTTCCTACAGCAATTATTGATGGTATACATAATAAAGACACAAAAGTCATTTGTGGTGATATCATAATTAAGGAAATTGTACAACCAACGATTTGTGTTGAGGCTCTTAAACCCCCAGACACAGTCTGTTTAAAGCTACTTTTGAAGTCTTGTACATCCGATGTT